ATACAATCTAGACCTAAATCAAAGAAGAGAAAATGTAGAGCTTCCTTTTTTTATTTTCTTGCTTGCATAAAACATTAAGATATCGTTTTCGGAAGTTTTTGCCAAAATAAAATATTACAAAATCAATTTTAACCGCTTTCTCATGGACGGCGCAAAATACTAAACCAATAATCCTTACCAAACTTATAAAATGAAAATTTACTTATGAGGACTAAATTGGTAATAAATAATAGTTGATTTAATTTTCTATTGGTGACTGCTTAGGGAAGCATCAAGTCATATGTGATGCAATATCGTACCCAATACAATCATCGAATAATTTATAATATATAATATAAACTAGTACAATAGCCTGTACTATACAGGTGATTGATAAAATAATCAATTGAACAACACAAAATATAATATAAAATATATATTTTGTTGAAGTTGAAAAAAATAAATAAAGATCAATATATAATATTTTAAAATAAAGAACTAAGTGAATTAAAAATATTATTTTAATTTTAAAAACTAATTTATATATCATTTATTTTATTTATAATATTTTCATTTAAAACATATAAGATATAAAATAGACAAAACACAAAATTTAGAAAGTAAGATAACATGCACATATAGAAAGAAGATAATACATAGATTTATATGGAATATGTATTTTAAATATATTAAATATGTATATATATGGCAATCTTTATTATTAATTTTTATCTCAACTATATTACAAAACATAATATTTTACCACATAAAATTACGAAACGCGCGAAACTGCCACTTAATCTTTGTGCGTGTTGAAATATATATAAAGGAGATATATATATATGTGTGCGCACGCTTCACTGGTTGAATTTCTTTCTTTTTAATTTTTATAACAATTGGAAATTGTATATCCATATAATATCCTGCAGTTGGCCATTTTACATTACTTGAATGGACCAACAAATTATTCAGCTTACTTGAAATTGAAAAAACTTGGACAGTGGGTTTGGGATAATCAACGTGCTTTATTTTATACACTGGATTAGACTATATTGTTTTGTCCAACTTGACGATTCTACATTTATAATCGTGGACTTCAAATGCGCAATCGTAATTCATAAGTATATTTACAGTCAAAGGATAAGAAGCCAGATTGAGTGAACAATCAAACAGTAGATATATAGATAATCCACTTAATCACATGATTGTTTATACGACCAACACATGTTTTATTTCTTGTTCAACTCAATCCCACAAATCTAATAAATTTCTCCAACTGAGACGTGTTGTAAACAATTGATATGTGGACATGATTTAACCATTAAGTAAACTTTAAAGACATAGGACTGAAATGTAAATTTTAATGCCACTATGTATAACATAGATAAATAAAGATAAAACTCTTAACTTTTATCTTTTATTGATATCTTTATTTCATATTAATATGTGAATGAATACTATCTGTTTTGCAGCAAGATAGGAAAGAAGAAAATAATCTATTTTGACTCTTGTGTTGACCCTTGCAGTTAATTGATGATGATCAAAATGATTAACTAAACTATAGTCACTTTTCTGATGGATTATCATTCCATAGAAGATTTCGCTAATTCTTGTATTCACCATTAGAAAACAACGACTTGAGACTTCAGGGTGCAATACCACGACAAATACACAAAGTACCATAACAAATAACATTATAAGCTTTTGTTTGATTTATAGTTTACTAAGATTCTGATCATAGTTTAGAGTTTCAACTGATTTGGTCTACAATTACAGTACATTTGCATATGCTTCACTTACATTCAGGGCAAGAAAAATATTTCCTATAAAATCAATTGTTTGGTGATGAGACACACACATATTTACCAGCCCAAAAGGCACTGGAAAATAAGCAAGCATATTTTCGTTTAAGAAATGGAATTTACTTCGGAATCAATGTTGGCGAGATCCCTTCTTTTAGTCATATCAGCATGCGTATAAATTATTCATGAATATCTGGTTTGAAAGCACGTTATTGAGCACATCAATGTTTGTAATATGCCGCATACTCATAAGACATTGATTCCACCATCTCCCATACAGATAACATGTGATCGTGCATGCTCTCATGCAGATGACGACAACATTTTACCCTGTAACTGAACCAAATGCTAGAACTCTGCCAATAATTTACCATTTAACTGGTCCAAATGTTACACAACTTATATTTTAGAGACGTTTGACGAAAATCGAGGACATTAATCGGTGGTAATTTCACCATATGCACATGAAACAATCCCTGAAACCAGAGCAAGAACTGCGATAACAAACTAAAAGGTGCATTTCTCTAAGCCAAGAACGTCTGCTCTTCAGCAATTGATCTAAAAAGTGCCACAGCTCCTTCATAGGCAAGCAAACAAAGTTGGAAGAAAGAAGCTAACAGAGTCATAGAAGATCCCAATCGAAAATTAAAGCTTTTTTCTTCTAAAAAAGAAAGCATCAGCAAAAGAAGATGCAAGACTAAGAAATCAGTCGCCAATGACCAATGTGAATCAGCCTTGCGTTCATTGATGTTCCCCCAGAGTTAATCGATGAGATCACCGACGAATGAATCCTAATTCTTAAAACGTTCTCGATACATGAAAGTCCCATTAGCCTATGGTTGCATTCTCGAAGACATTAATCGGTGGTAATTTCACCTTATGCAAGCGTGTTTCTTGCACCCCAACTTGTTTATTTATTTAAATTATTTATTCGAGTTTTTTCAAGGATCTTGTTCCTGATTCGCTGGCTAATTGAGCCGCTTGTCATCATTCTCAATGTTCTTAACAATTTTGCAGGTAAGCTCACATACATCACACTAAATATCCATCTACATTTCTCTCGTAATCCCTTTCATTTTGTACACGCATCATTAATCCACGTTGTAAACCGACTACATAAACACAGAACAATTTTTTTTTCCAAAAAAAAAAAGAAAGAAAACGATCTTCACGACATCGCATAACCCCTCGCGTGCGAATACGCATAGGGATACGAATCTTGTTGCCCCACATTAGGCATCTGCCACATCATTTGCTCCTCCACCATCAGCCTCTGCTTCCTCTCCAAAGGTTTCTAATGAAAAAGGCAGATGACAGTTACCTAGTACACCAAATCTTCAACCCTATCTAAGTGTGTGTATACTATATATATATAGATTGGTTCGAATGGGTCCATATAGTTCAAGTGACCATATAGCTCAAGTGATCTTAGTCATTAAATCATGATGAAAATGTAATCAAGATTTAACGTTTATTTTTTTAAAAAAAAAAAAAAAATTTAGACATTTTGACCGTTGACTCCGACATTGACCATTGACTTTTAGCGAGACCAGTTGACTTCCGACGTTGATGGTTTGACGGACCAAAATAAAAACTGATTTGTTTTATTTGCTTTGTTTTTACAGATGCTTGTTGGTTTTTATTTGTTGTGTGATTTTTTTCATGCAGGTGTGGACATGATCTATTTTTTTCATGCAGGTGTGGGACAACTCACAAGTGATATTCTAACAGAATGAATTGCTAGAAAAAAAAAAAACCCTCAA